CGGGAGGAGGTGTGAAGAGGTCGTTTGTAAAGGTGACTGTCATGGACAAGTGGCCATTAAAGCAGGTTAAAATATATTCTTTCTTTTTTGTTTTAGTAGCGGTTTTACGGCGCTCGCAACTGCATAAGGTCATATGAACGCCAAGAGGTGGATGTCAACGGAGAAGTTCTTACAGGGAATCAGACTTACTCTGCTCACCTCTCTAACTTCAACAGCCACAATGTCTGCTTCGACTATCAAGGCACCCCGGAAATAGCGGGTCACAAGAGTGTGACAAAATATACAAAAGAAGTAGAGGAAAATGACGATAGTAAAGATTAGGACAGAAAAAGCAGCAGTTCCCTGTTGTAGTTCAGGCACAGTTATGAGAATGACATTGTTGGATCAGCCAATTTACAATTCTACTGTGCTTTAGAACGAGAAATGTCCCTTCTTTGGAAATGGCCTAAAGATACTTCAGTCAGTGGCACCGCCCCGGGTGCCAATAAATTCTTTCACTTTGAACGTACAGCATAGGGAAACACATGGGTATATATTGTTAACAAATGGAGGTCGAGGAGAAAATGAGTCGTCTTAGACAGGTGGCTGTCTTGGATAATGGTGTTTTTTGTTTTTTTTCCGACCATTTCTATTTTTCTCTATGTCAACCTCGTATTTTCCCATTGATGATGATGAGTGATGATGGTGGATGACGATGGTGATACATTTTTAAAAAATACAAAATGAAAATGGTTTTAACTGTATCCAGCAGGTTTATTGTTTTTTTAAAAAATATTATTATTATTATCATTATTATTATTATTATTATTATTATTGTTGTTGTTGTTGCTATTGTTATTGTTTTTGTTATTATTATTGTTATTATTATTATTATAATTATCATTATTATTATTATTATCACTGTTATTATTATTATTATCATTATCATTATTTATAGAGAAAGCCGGTGCAATGACTTTCTCTTCTTTCATCTCTTTCACGATCTATGTCAAGATCACCCCGACACGCAATGTCAGCTTTATCTGTAGAGGTTAATGCATTCTGAGGACTCATCGCGGGGCTAATGAAACAAACGCTCAACCCAGCAGTAAATAATCTCACATAATCTGCTATGATGTTGTTTGATCAAATAATCGCTGAACCGAGGGGATACTCGTGCTCTGAGTGTGTGTGTTTATGTATGTGTGTGTGTGTGTGTGTGTGTATGTGTGTGTGTGTTTGTGTGTGTGTGTGTGTGTGTGTGTGAGTGTGTTTGTGTGTGTGTTTGTGGTTGTTTGTGTGCGTGAGTGTGTGTTTTTGATGGTATAATATATATTACATGTCGTGTATGCAGTAGATTTCTGCACGTAGGCTACTTGTGAGCTTAAGCAATGAAAAAGATTAGAAACTGAGGGACACACACACACACACACATACACACCCACGCACACACACACATACACACACGCACACATACACACACACACACACAAACACACACACATACACACACATACACACACGCACACACACATACACATACACACACACGCAAACACACATACACACACACATACACACACACACACACGCACGCACGCACACACACACGCACATACTGAGCGAGAGAAAAGGAAAAAGAGCATGCGACAGGGTCAAAGAAATAAATAGAAGAAAGAAGGAGAGAGAGAGAGAGAGAGAGAGAGAGAGAGAGAGAGAGAGAGAGACTGAGAGGCGGTGAGAGAAAGAAAGAAATAAGGACAGAGAGAGAGAGAGAGAGAGAGAGAGAGAGAGAGAGAGAGGGAGAGAGAAAGAGAGAGAGAGAGAACGAGAGGGGGGAAAAGAAATGTGGATTCTGTCTTGGAGGCATTCATTATCAGTGTTTTAGCAGGCTGAGGGAAGCTCTCACGAAAAACAACAAATTCACACTTTTTAAAAAACTTTGCTGTTCTTTTCTCGACGTTGCTTGGCTCAAAAAAAGACCAAACCAAAAAAAAAAGAAAAATGAATAAAAAATAAAATCAACAAAAACTTTTATCTAGGATGTTGTTTTGCCGTGCGTATTCAGGCCGAGTATGCCTCCAGGCAGAGCATGCTTACAATGTTCCAAGACCTGGACTTGCTGGTGCCAACCAGTTTCCATTTAAAAAAAAGATGTCTTGTGGGAGCGAGTCAGAAATTGGTTCTTCTGGTGCCGCGGAGCACAATGGGATCAAAGGGGCAATGACATGGCTGCTTGACAGGTCTCCGCTTTTTTTTTTGGTCTGTTTGTTTTGTTTGCTTGTTTGTTTGTTTGATTTGTTTTGTTTAGGGGTTGTTTTTTTGCATTCTGCCCCCCCCCCCTCAACCCAGTTCTACCTCATCCTGGTACACCTTTCCTTATCCCCAACCGCCTCGTCTTCACACAAACACACACACACACACACACACACACACACACACACACACACACACACACACACACACACGCTGAATACGGAGAACAAATCCTGACATGTAAGCATATTCGAAAAGGAAAACATTACAACTCTAATACGGATAAAATAAACAGGAAAACAAAATGTAAGCGAGCTGGTCAATGAAATTGAATTAGTAAGAGTGTTACGGCACTTGCAACGCATACGTTATGTTAAGATGTGTTGCGAGAGAGTAGCAGACTCACAAAAAAGAAGGAGAAATAAGGACGATAGATGTTTGATGGGGAAAAAATAGCAAACCACAGCAGAAAACCTCGTTAACCACCCGTTTTTCATAATTTGTTTTTCAAATATTTTTAAAAATCATTTAAGTGAATAAAAGTTTAATTCTGCTCTTCATATACACTTGACAGACGTATTTGACTCCTTTTATTGAGGTTTTTTAAAAATACTTTTGTTAGTTTTGTTTTATTTTCAGAGACAGTCTATAATATAATTAATCTATAATGTAATTTTAAAAGATCTTTTTTTTTTCAAGGAAAGATGCGAAAAGTCCTGGAGCAGGAAACGAAAGCCCACTTGGCAAACTCTCGAGCGAAAATTGACTTGCAGTTGCAGCAAGCCCGCGGCAAGATTTGAACAGGCTTGGGAGAAGCCCACATGAGCTGAGTGGCGCGCGGTTCTAACAAGCAGCTCATCAAACAGTTTTATTTAATTTGTTTTTAGTAAAAGTTTCGCTGCACTTGCAACACATGGGTTATATAAGTACCGACGATTAGACGTGTTGCTAGAGAGTAGGATTGCAAATTCACAAAAAGAAGGAGAGACAGGGACGATAGACGTTTGATTGGGAAAAAAATAGCAACCCACAGTAGAAAACCTCTCTTACTGCTCTCTTTCAGCCACACCTTGATCTTCTGGTATGAAAGATCTACACCTAGCCTTCTCGGACAAGGGCCAAAAATCTAGGAGGTCCTGTGTGCAAGTTGCGCT